TCAGAATGAGCTCAGGCTTGCAAGAGAGGTTTAAAAAAAAGTTCATTTGGCTATGTCCAAAGTAAGAGGAAGAACAAGCAAGTGGTAGGTTCTCTGTGTGGGGAAGATGGAAAAATGCTATTCGATGACAGAGAAAAGGCAGAACTTCTCAACACCTACTTTACCTCTGTCTTCACCCAAAAGGAAAGCGATGCCCAACCTGGTGATAACAGAATAAGTGACATAAGGAGGGAGCTGCAGCCCAAGATAGGAAAAGAGGTAGTAAGGGAACACCTAGCTGCTTTAAATGGATTCGAATCTCCAGGGTCTGATGAGCTGCATGCAAGGGTACTAAAGGAGCTTGCAGATGTAATTTCAGAGCCTTTGTCTATTATCTTTGAGAATTCTTGGGGAACAGGTGAGGTCCCTACAGACTGGAGGCGGGCAAATGTTATCCCCATCTTCAAAAAGGGGGTAAAGGAAGACCAGGTAACTACCAACCAGTGAGCTTCACATCATACCAGGGAAGGTCCTAGAACAGATAATTTAGCAGTTGAGCTGTGAGCATTTTGAAAAGGATGCTGTGATTACTAAGATCCAGCATGGATTTGTCAAAAACAAGTCATGCTAGACCAATCTATTTTCTTTTTGTGATGGAATTACAAACTTGGTGGATCAGGGAAATGCTGTGGAGATAGTTTATCTACATAGTGTATCTTGATTTCAGTAAAGCTTTTAACAAAGTCCCAATGATATTCTTGTGAAGAAGCTGGTAAAATGTGGGTTGAACGAGGTAACTGTTAGGTGGATTTGTAGCTGGTTGACTGACTGAACCCAAAGAGCACTCATTAACAGTTCCTCGTCATCCTGGGAAAAAGTGACAAGTGGGGTGCTGCAGGGTTCTGTCCTGGGCCCGTTGTTGTTCAACATCTTTATAAATGACTTGGATGAAGGAATTGAGAGGATGCTTTCCAGATTTGCAGATGAAACCAAACTGGGAGGGGTAGCTAATGCTGCAGAAGACAAAATCAGATCTATCTATTTATTTGTTTCCCCTTCATGGATCACTGCCTTGCCGTGGCGAAGGGGCTTGAATAACTCAGAGAAGCTATGAACTATGCCAAACAGGGCACCCAAGATGAACAGGTCATAGTGGAGAGTTTTGACCAAATGTGATCCACCTGGAGGAGGAACCGGCAAGCCACTCCAGTATCCGTGCCAAGAAAACTCCATGGACAAAGACAACAGGCATATAAAAGTTATGACGCTGGAAGATGAGCCCCTCAGGTCGGAAGGCGTCCAACATGCTACTGAGGAAGAGCAGAGGACAAGTACAAGTAGATCCAGAGCTGATGAAGCTGCTGGGCCAAAGCCAAAAGGACGCTGAGTTGCGGATATGCCTTGAAGTATTGCAGTCCTGAGGCTTTATAGGTCAAAACCAGAATTTTGAATTGAGCCTGGAAACTACTTAGTAGCCAGTGCAATCAGACCAGGATTGGTGTAATATGCTCAAACCTGGCCGCTGAATTCTGCACTAGCTGAAGTTTCCGAACTGCCTTCAGAGGCAGATCACGCATTGCAGTGATCTAACCCAGAGGTTACCAGAGCATAGACAACAGTAGCTAGGCTATCCCTGTCCAGATAGGGGCGTAACTGGGCCACCAGCTGAAGCTGATGGAAGGCGCTCTGGGCCACTGAGCCCACCTGAGCCTCGGACGACAGCAAAGGATCCAGGAGTACCCCCAAGCTACGAACCTGCTCCTTCAGGGGAAGTGTAACCCCATCAAGAGCAGGCAACCTCCCAGCCATCTGGTCTAGGGTGCCTCAGTCTTATCTGGATTGAGCTTCAGTCTGTTGGCTCTCATCCAGTCCATTACCGAGGCAGGACACTGGTCCAGCACTTCCACTGCCTCACCTGCAGATGTAAAGGAGAAATAGAGCTGGGTGTCATCAGCATACTGCTGACAACATACTCCGAACCTCCGGCTAACCCCACCCAGCGGTTTCATGTAAACAACATGGGCGATAGGATTGAGCCCTGCGGTTTCCACAGGGCTGAATAGCATTCCCCAAGTAATAGAACCACCACAAAGCGGTGCCACCCACCCCTAGTACGGAGAGTCACTCCAGAAGGGTACCATGGTGGATGGTATCAAAGGCCGCTGAGAAGTCGAGAACAATTAACAGGGACATGTTTCCCTTGTGTGTCTCTCGACAGAGGGACCAAAGCTGTTTCTGTTCCCAAACCAGGCCTAAACCCTGATTGAAAAGGATCCACAAAATCAGTTTCTTCCAAAAGCACCTGGATCTGGTCTGCGACCACTCGCTCCAGAACCTTGCCCAGGAAAGGGAGATTAGCAACTGGCCAGTAGTTAGGTTTTCTGAAACCAGGAAAGGTTTCTTAAGGAGTGGTTTTACCACTGCCTCTTTCAAACAGGCATTCAAACTGACCTTAACAGATTGGAGAACCGGGCCCAAACTAACAAAATGAATTTCATTAGGAACAAACGTAAGGTTCTGCAGTTAGGAGGAAACAGATGCACAAATATAGGATGGGGAACACCTGGCTTACTAGCAGTTTATGTGAAAAGGATCTAGGGGTCTTGGTGGACCACAAGCTTAACATGAGTCAACAGTGTGATGCAGCAGCAAAAAAGGCTAATGCTATTCTAGGCTCCGTAAACAGAAGTATAATTTCTAGATCAAGGAAAGTAATAGTACCACTCTATTCTGTCTTGGTCAGACCACACTTGGAACTCTGTGTCCAATTCTGGACACCACAATTTAAAATGCATGTTGATAAGCTGGAACGTGTGCAGAGGAGGGCAACCAAGATGATCAAGGGTCTGGAAACTAAGCCTTATGAGTAGCACTCGAAGGAGCTGGGTATGTTTAGCCTGGAAAAGAGGAGAGTGAGAGGAGATATGATAGCCATCTTCAAATACCTTGAGGGCTGTCCCATGGAGGAAGGAGCATGCTCTGGAGGATAGGACTCAAACCAATGGCTTCAAGTTGCAAGAAAAGAGATTCCGACTAAACATTCTGACAGTAAGAGCTGTTCAGCAGTGGAACAGACTCCCACAAGAGGGGAGTTTTTAAACAGGTTGGATGGCCATCTGCCATTGATGCTTTAACTGAGATTCCTGCATTGCAGAGGGGTTGGACTAGATGACCACTGGGTCCCTTCCATCTCAAAGATTCTATGATTCTATAATTTCAGGTAAAATTCAGTTGGATATAACTCCCATGTAAGCCATTTTGAGCTCAGTGGAGAGTGTGGAACTATTTTTGTGGGAGGCATACCCTCTCCAGGTGCTTTGCCATCTGAAGGATGTAATAATCCTCAAATAGTAACGGGGACCAAAAAGGCAATCGTGGCTTCCAAGGATAATTTTGGCATGTGATCTAAAGATAGATCCCCAAAGATCTTGCTATAATGCACGAGCCAGTTACTGGCAGATATCTCTGCATTCATTAGGGGTCTAACTATATGAAACAATATACCTAGAAACAGGATCCAAAAGTTAGATTATTTCCTTTTGGCTGCAGCTTGTCCCAGTTGAGTCAATTTTTGCCCAGCATACTCCCTCTTTTCGCTCTTCACAAGTGAATGACTGTGGGAAGGAGTTAGTAGGTCTGTTTTTGCAGAACTGTTGAGATGGTTTCAGTAATTCTTTTTGGCACATCTTGGTCAAGTTACCCCTGCAATAAACCTCTGTTTCAGTTAAAATACTAATTATGGACTATCATAGGTCAGAGGTGCTGAAATATATTTTGTTAGGCTTGCAAAATGTCATAGTTCATTTCCAAGGCTTCCTGACAACGTGTCCAAAGAGTACAGCTTTTGAGTAACCCAACTATAGAAGAGAGTAGGTGTCTTGTCCATGGAATTCATCTTTCACAAAAGTGAGCGGAGTGATTAAGGGATGAATGTCTATAGTATTATAATAGCAGAACCAATGGATAATTATTACTTTTAACCATGTTGCCAGCCTCAAAGCTATGAATATCAAATAAGGGAGGAGGAAACTATGATTATTTATTATTATTTATTAGATTTTTACACGCCCTTCATCATGAGATCTTAGGGTGGTTCACATAATAAAATACAGGATAAAATAAAATAATCAATGGTACTGGTTCCTTGATAAGAAAAGTAGTTATAGGCTTCTAAATTCATATTTATTGCTGTGAAGATGATAAAAGTTGATGAAAGACTGAAAAGTTCAAGAAATTTCAGACCAGATTTATTTATTATTTTATCCTGCAATCAGGGATGATGACAGCTTACTCCAGCAATCGTTAATTTAAATTTTAGAAGATTATAGAGATGCTCTGTGGAGGTGTAGAACTCAGTTGTATGGTTGCAGGTAGCCTCTTGAACACCAGTTACTGGTAAACAACCTGCTTATTTTCATTTTAGTGTAGGTATTAAGGTCTATATTTAAAACAAGTTGTGTTCACTTCCAGACTAAGAAGAAATAAGGATGCCTACACAAACCATTGGAGAAGGGTGCATATGTAATAAAAACCCTGGCCCTCATGGTTCAAATGATCCCTTCATACACTACATAGTGGATCGGGTGATGCAGAGATCATAGGGTCAACATGGATGATATACACAGTTAGCTTGACCAAAGACATAGTTCTTTTCTTTCTGTTTCTGCATGTGTTATTTCTTGGGGCTTCTTTAAGCACTGAGGTTCACACATGGCAATCTTGGAAATACCCTTTCCTATGGCTGATATTTATTTAAAAGTACCTTACCCTCAGGCTCAGTTGTTTTGTGCTGTTAAATGGTCTGCTCTCTGCACCATATGGAAACGGCAGTTTCACCTAAAGTCTAAATTGACTTTTGTATTTCTGCCTTAATAGTAAAACAGTGAAACTAGAAACACATAAATGTTATATGTTTCCGATGTCACAAACAGAAAAGTCTATGGCACTTTAGTTTGTGTCGTGGACTGGATAAAGGGTTGACTAGGTGTTGTCATGACTGTATGATTATATATTTCTTACAGGAGAAGCATAAACTTGAGTTGGAAGACTTGAGAAGAGCTGGCCATGAGGCCTTGGCTATTATTGTGGAAGAATTTAAGGTAAATATCTTTATAAAAATGCTACAGTGAGTTGACCCAATCATCTCTGATTGCTATGTGACTTTCCTGTGGATTTGGTGTAGGAAGCAGAAATGCTCACAGGATGTCTTGAGCCTGTTGTCAAGCCTATTGTCATGTCTGCTTCAGGGATTTTTGGATGAAGCCAATTATTTGGATCTGTTACTGTCTGATTTCTGTCCTAGTTTTGAAATGGAAACTGCCTTGGACATCCTGGTGGTGGGAGAGGGAAAGGAGTGCCATTCTGTTGATTCCTGTGAACTTTTCCATTCAGTACCATTGAGTGTGGCTTCCTTATCTACTTCCTGGAAATTATTGCTCTCTGGAAGCTATACTTCATTGGGAGAAGTTATCTGCAGGTTTGGACTAAGGTGTCATCAGTAGTGGAATATATATTTCTCTGCTTCTTATTTCCATCATCAGTCCAGGAAGGCAGTAACTGATGGTCAGAACACATAACTCCATTTATATTTCTGTCACACTTTAAAGTGTTGCCCCCACCCATGTTACCCCAAAGACCTTCAATTCAATTCAAAGACCTGACCAAGCCACAGATTCACTAAGATGCCTTCTTCTTGGACCTGAATAACACAACAAACAGGGCGTTTACAGTGATGCTACCACAGTTTGAGATTACATTGTTAAATTGGTTTGATGCAGGCTATGTAAGTTCCTACTGCAATCTGGACAATGCAAGCCATGGGTACTTCACTCATTAAATATGGGTCACATTGAATCAACTAACTTGCATTCATCCCAGCATCTGCATTCATCCCAGTGTTTTTAATATGTTGTTTTTCTGGCTATTATATTGCGTTTAATTTGCCGTAAGTGCTCTACGAGCAGAATGGTGGAGGCAAGATGGTGCCGTGAGAGGAAGCACCACTTTGAGCTCCGCATCAGTTTTAGAGAAAGTTTTAATTACCGATCGGACTCATCTTCCGACTACTTATCAGTCGGAGTTGCTGTTAAACGTTCAAATCTTAGAAGGACGCCGAGTTCTCTGACCCACAGCAGCAATTAGAAGTGGCTGCTTCTCCAAGAGTAAGACTTACTTTCCAAAATGTCCAGGAAAAAGAAGAGATCGGCCTCATCTCCACAAGTGAACCCACAGCACAAGAGCAAGGAGAGCAAGCTGGATGATTTCATAAGAGCTCAGAATTTAGAACCTTCTGCATCAAACAGAGCTCACTCCCAGGTAGGTGGGGACCCTCTAATGGGAGGAGACCACCCAAGGGAGAACTCATTGCTGAGCACCCATGAACTATTATCCGAGGGTGCGCCACTTTATGCAGAAATACTTGCGGACCACTGTTTGTTAATAGCAAGAACAGTGGAGGAAATAACACCAAATTAGAAAAGGTAATGTCTCTCCTGGCCGAGTTGGTGCTGCTGGTGGCTAGAAACATCCCTCCTGATACTCGAGGCTGGCCACAGAAACAACGAACGCGAAAGCAGCGAACTGATCCTGCAAAGCATGGAAGTAGTTCTTGACATATATCCCTTTAATGGGCTGCTGCCTTACTGGAAGTCAATCACTAGTTTAAAGCGAAATCTCAAGCTTTTATTAAACATCCAGTGCAACAAGCTAATCGCCATAAACTTGCTTTTGACGGACTCCTAGCACACTAGACTCATGTTGACATTCTCCGAGTCAGCTACCCCTAAATTACTCCTGAAATATAGGGTCCACCTACAGGACTATAATATTGGCGAGGCGTGTTTTAAAGAACAAAAACTTTTACTGTTGTACAGCCGGACTGATTCCAGTCAATCAGTGCACTTCCTGTCGGTGGGCACTCGTCATAGATTCAAGGTACAATCTCCAGGGCCAATAAGGAGGGCTTTGGGCGGTGCATTTGGCCAAAACATCCCCCTGGATGTCTTGAGTTCAACGACCAATTACATAAAGAAACCCTGCCCAACCCATCTGTGTCAAAGATAGGCTCCTCTATTAGACCTGTGGCAGACCCCGAAACTCACCATTCACCATCTCCACTGGAAACAGATCAGCCATCGCCAGGTGATGCTCCTCCTAAGGGAAGTGCAACATTTAGACTGCCAGAGATAGATCTAATTGTCTTTGACTCTGACCCCCCAAATGCCACAGCAAACTGGATAACATCACTGACCACTGGTAATTTGGACAACTCTGTAACTCAGCCCCAGGAAGAACAACACCGTATACATCCTAAGAATGGTTGCGTTATTATGGAGACAGAGGGAGAGCTGATCACAATCTGTCCTCCACAATGAAGCCAAGCCGATGACGGAACGAGCAGCCTCAATATTCTCTCATGGAACATAATGGGTTGGGCCAACAAACTAGGGGATGAGACATTTTGTGAATACATAACGTGTTTTGATGTGATAATGTTGCAGGAAACCTGGTCAACTGACAACATAGTCCTTGATGGTTATTTTGCCTATGAAATTAAGGCCTCTAAACTGACCCTGATGTTGGGAAAGATGGAGGGCACAAGGAGAAGGGGATGACAGAGGGCGAGATGGTTGGACAGTGTTCTCGAAGCTACAAACATGAGTCTGACCAAACTGCGGGAGGCAGTGGAAGACAGAAGTGCCTGGTGTGCTCTGGTCCATGGGGTCACGAAGAGTCGGACACGACTAAACAACTAAACAACAACAACAAACTGCACGAGGAGGGACGCGGGTGGCGCTGTGGGTTAAGCCACAGAGCCTAGGGCTTGCCGATCAGAAGGTCGGCGGTTCGAATCCCCACAATGGGGTGAGCTCCCGTTGCTCGGTCCCTGCTCCTGCCAACCTAGCAGTTCGAAAGCACATCAAGGTGCAAGTAGATAAATAGGTACCACTCCGGCGGGAAGGTAAATGGTGTTTCTGTGCGCTTCTCTGGTTGGCCAGAAGCGGCTTAGTCATGCTGGCCACATGACCCAGAAGCTGTATGCCGGCTCCCTCGGCCGATAAAGCGAGATGAGCGCCGCAACCCCAGAGTCGGCCACGACTGGACCTAATGGTCGGGGGTCCCTTTACCTTTACTAAACTGCACAAGAGGGGACATCCAAGGGGGGGGGGTTTGTAACTCTGGTCTCCACTTCCTTGATGTCACAGGTTACTGAGTGTACAGTCCTTGAGCACCTGGCATCTTGCACTATGAGTCTAAAAGTATCATTCTTATCTCAGCTTATATTCCACCACACAAAGTGCAAGCACAGATTGCGAGTACATGGCATAAATGCCATAGTTTCCTTTACTCGCTTCAAATTAAGCGCGACCACAAACTTGACATGAGCCAACAGTGTGACGCGGCAGCTAAAAAAGCCAATGCAATTCTGGGCCTCATCAATAGGAGTATAGCATCTAGATCAAGGGAAGTAATAGTGCCACTGTATTCTGCTCTGGTCAGACCTCACCTGCAGTACTGTGTCCAGTTCTGGGCACCACAGTTCAAGAAGGACACTGACAAACTGGAACGTGTCCAGAGGAGGGCAACCAAAATGGTCAAAGGCCTGGAAACGATGCCTTATGAGGAACGGCTAAGGGAGCTGGGCATGTTTAGCCTGGAGAAGAGGAGGTTAAGGGGTGATATGAGAGCCATGTTCAAATATATAAAAGGATGTCGTATAGAGGAGGGAGAAAGGTTGTTTTCTGCTGCTCCAGAGAAGCGGACACGGGAAACTACAAGAAAGAAGATTCCACCTAAACATTAGGAAGAACTTCCTGACAGTAAGAGCTGTTCGACAGTGGAATTTGCTGCCAAGGAGTGTGGTGGAGTCTCCTTCTTTGGAGGTCTTTAAGCAGAGGCTTGACAACCATATGTCAGGAGTGCTCTGATGGTGTTTCCTGCTTGGCAGGGGGTTGGACTCGATGGCCCTTGTGGTCTCTTCAAACTCTATGATTCTATGATTCTATGATTCTATATATGAATGCCAGATTAGGCTCCAATGATGATTGCCTGTTTTTTAAAGACTGTCAAATCAATTATGCCGGCTTTTGTCTGCCCTTTTTACAAATAAGTCTTGACCTCATGATTATTAATGGGGCGCTCCCGCGGGACAGAGAAAGAGTGTTTACATTCATACATACTAACAGAGCTAGCACAGTAGATCGCTGCCTCACTAACAGGGAGGCCTTTAAATTAACCAAAAACTTCTATATCGATAACAGGACTGAGATTGGCCATCTGCCTCTAATCATCTCCAAAATTCAATCCAGCGCTCTCACACAGAATAATAGTAATAATAATAATAATAATAATAATAATAATAATAATAATAATTTAATTATACCCCGCCCATCTGGCTGAGTTTCCCCAGCCACTCTGGGCGGCTTCCAATCAAGTGTTAAAAACAATACAGCATTTAATATTTAAAACTTCCCTAAACAGGGCTGCCTTCAGATGTCTTTTAAAGAGAAGATAGCTGCTTATTTCCTTCACATCTGAAGGGAGGATGTTCCACAGGGCGGGTGCCACTACCGAGAAGGCCCTCTGTCTGGTTCCCTGTAACCTCACTTCTCGTAAGGAGGGAACCGCCAGAAGGCCCTTGGCGCTGGATCTCAGTGTCTGGGCTGAACGATGGGGGTGGAGACGCTTCTTCAGGTATACAAGACCGAGGCCGTTTAGGTCAGCACCAACACTTTGAATTGTGCTCGGAAACGTACTGGGAGTCAATGCAGATCTCTCAGGACCAGTGTTATATGGTCCCAGCGGCCACTCCCAGTCACCAGTCTAGCTGCCGCATCCTGGATTAATTGCAGTTTCCGGGTCACCTTCAAAGGTAACCCCATGTAGAGCGCATTGCAGTAGACCAAGCGGGAGATAACTAGAGCATGCACCACTCTGGCAAGACAGTCCGCAGGCAGGTAGGGTCTCAGGCTGCGTACCAGGTGGAGCTGGTAGACAGGCTCCCTGGACACAGAATTAACCTGTGCCTCCATGGACAGCTGTGAGTCCAAAATGACTCCCAGGCTGCACACCTGGTCCTTCAGGGGCACAGTTACCCCAT